GAGTAAAGGAAAACATAAGCTCGTAAGAAGGGATGAAGAAATTTTATGACAAATCACAACAAAAGAATTCAAATGTTAATTCATTGATAATTGGAGAGAAATAATCCCACATGATTTTTTGTTTTAAATGTTACAAATAGATAATCCTCTCTAAATAATACAAGAATATAAGTCATGTAGGATGCTTATTATATATGAGCAAAAACTTTCATTTCCATGTTTCATGTCGATATTGCCACTTAAAATATTTTGCAAATACCAAAAGACCCATGCCAAAGGCACTCCTGGATAATATATGTGGTGTGTTCGCTCTCAAAATGTTGCTTACTTATTATTTTGAAATAATTGAGTTACTTGAATGCAAGTGTAGGCCTATGGAAGGTTTAGTGAGCATTATGTTTCTATTGGGTGGAAAGATTTTGCGCATCGCGATGAGTGGTGTCGTAACCTTAAGGCATCGAAACCTCAGGGTTGGTTTAATGTGCACAGGGGATAACATGGCCGAGTTGGAGGCTATTGATTGGTTTGCCGAAGGTGGTACGCGATGGGAAATAATGCGATAGAGTTTAAATGTAGATCCCATGTTCAGCGGGAAGTAAAAGGTTGCTTGCCAATCAAGATAATGAGACTTAGAGTAATGTTAGGAGCTTCCCACAAAATTAGGCCCTGATTATTTTTTCGAAATCTGTAACGCCCTCGGAAAAAAAAAATTTTTTTAATTTTTAAACCCATTTTTTTTAAACCCATCAATATAGACATGCATTGAGTATTATATATAAAAGTTCCACTTTCTTCTAGCTCATTCAGAGTTTCATTACCAGAAAAGTTATTACATGTTAACGACAAAAGCAATGCCAAAGGCTTACAGCTTTCCAAGTTTTAACGACTTGGTTAGCAACAAAAGAGTGCTAACTCATTTACACATTAAGCCCTTGCTTGAATATACATGTAATACATCAAAGAAAACTAAAACAACAAAAAGTCTTGCCCGCCTCTAGCCCTCCCCAAGCTACGTCCTTGGAGGTGCGGCATGCTAGCCTGTACCTGGAAAATGATACCCATATAGGGTGGAGCACATCTCAGTAGAATACACTAAACCAATATGAACAATGACTAAAAGATTAGCAGTGATAGATGGCCAACACTGATACTTCCCTTATCACACTTTACAGTTTCATGACATACAAAGTCCATGTTACAGTCATTTTCCAATTCTTTTCAATTCTTCAATTTATAACCATGGCTTCAAAACCTTGGCCAAACAACGTCGATTATGAGACAGTAACCCAGTATTCAAGCACTTTTCCCATTTTTCATTAAGTAGATAAGCATTACGTAGCCTATATCCACACCACCAACAGATAAGGCATGCAAGCTAGTATGCATCACTTCCATAGATATGCATAAGAGGCCATTATCACACTTCCAAAGACAAGCATTATGAAGCTCTGTCAACACATTATAGATAAGCATATGAGCTTATCTATTGGAATCCATTCCCCTATCTTCTCCAACAACCATCCGGTTTAGCACGTCCATCCCCTATCTTCCCCTAAACCGTTGGGAGCTACATCCCCTATCTTCCTCCAACACAACACAATGCATATTAAACAATAATTATTACACAAGTCATCACACAACACATAAATTTAATTGTATTCTTTCAACCGTCATACTTCAAATGACATTAATTCCAGTTGATTAGTTTCAGTTATCCTTAATCCACATGCAATTTGTTCTATCAACAATCACCAGTATCCTCCACCGATAGCCACAATAGCAGTTATTTCTATACAGAAAATAATGCAACAATGGATATATAATCAAGATTTCACCAGCGTGAGTTATAAATTAATCCACTACACCCTTATTTCTTATACATTCCCAAATCAATTCCTCATTCTCATAATTAATTATACGAATTAAGTTAACCAATGAATTAGGACATTTTCCATTATTATCATTACAACCCTTAGGTATCCATTATCACTAATGTTTCAACATTAAATTTCACTTTCCCATGCCAAACATGCATCTAGGTTTTATATAGCTAAACCCCAACTTTTTGTGAAATTTACACAAAGGTCCAAACTTTCCCAAAATTTACCCAAACCAACCCCAACATCTCAAAATTGCTAAAAATTTAAGACGAAAACCCATGTGAGGAGTAGGGTTATCCCTGCCTCAAAGATGACTCCCAAACAAAGAAGGTGAGAAAACGAAAATGCTCCAAACACGATTTCTCGGATCAAAAGATAGCCCTCGACGATCAACAACTTTCTTTTGAAAGGCCAAAGTTTGAGGAAATCACTCCTACTAGATGCCAATGCCTAGAGAGAAAGGTAGAGCTCTAGAGGAGAAGCTCAACAATTGGTGTTTTGGGAAAAAGGTAAGAGAGAGAAGCGAGAAGTGAAAAGTGATTTAAAAATTGACCACAGCCAACTGGGTATACGACATTCCCGCTCGAGCGAAAACACAATGCTCGAGCGTAAAGAACAAAAACTAGGTCCGCATCGAGCGCCAAGACACAAGAATAAAGCACATCGCTCGAGCCGCGAAAAGCCAGTCCGCTCGAGCGTAGGATTTCCCCTCCCAGAACTTATACCAGAAAGTACTAACCCGCTCGAGCGTAAAAATCACATCTACAGAATTTGCAGGAACACGAAATACTGGAGTGTGCAATCCGCCCATCTCGAGCGCAAGAAGACCCGCTCGCAGCCGGATCGCCTAAAAACTGGAAACGAAGGATTTGAAAACCAAGGCCTAACCAACCTGTAACAATTATAGCGACCCCCGGTTCTTTTCCCATCTTGTTAATTGTATCCGGACTTAGGTTCGCGTAGATTCTATCATGTATAATTGTTGTTGTTGTCCCTTATTTTTCTCATTTGCGACTTATAGGCATGTGTTGGGCAGGTTTTATTTCAGGTTGGGTTGGGTTTAGAAACCAAGTGTTGCATGTCCAGAATTTTGGATCTTCGCTCGAGCGAGGAGTTTGTCGCCCGAGCGAGATGTTATTTTTTGCCGTTTCTTCGCTCGAGCGGGGTTTGGTAGCTCGAGCGATACGGTTGCGTCTGATTTTGGACCGTGTAGCTGTGCCATTCTTGGCTCGAAGCGCAGCTAGTTCGTTCTTCGCTCGAGCAATAGTTCTCGCTCGAGCCGTGTTGTCTGGTTACAGACCTTGAGGGTTTGAGTTCTGTCGCTCGATCGAGTTTTCTTTCGCTGGAGCGGCTGTTTGGCGTTTGTTGGTCGAGCAAGGTTCCTTTGGCTCGAGCGTAGCTTCTCTGTGTCTGGTTTCGGCTCGAGTGACCAAGTCCTTCGCGATCGAGCCGAGCCTGTCCAGTTTATATACACAGCAGTGGGTTTTGATCAGTCGTTTTTCCATCTCTTTTCTTATTCTTTTTGGTTCTAAACCCTAGGTTCGACTTTTCTCTCTCCCTACTCACCTTCTTTCTTAGATTTGATCTATTTAGAGGGTGTTTCTATCCTAGTTGCTTTATTAAAAAGATAGAGTGGGTTGAGGGCTTCCATTTAATCTGAACTTTTGGCGATTTGGAACACATTGGTATTTGGGCACTCATCTCTGTCTTCACTGTTTGGGTTGTTTTCTTCGAGGTAGGGATTTCCTACTCCATTTTATAGGTTTTGTTCTAAGTTTTGGTATTTTGATATGTTGGGAATACTTTGGTGAATCTTGGGAAAAACCCTAGTTGTATTATTAAATTAATTTGTATAATTAATTCATGGAATTGGAAAAATATGGTTAAATTCATGGAATTGGGGAATTCATTGAATAAATGGCATAGTTGGATAATTTGAATCATTTGTCTATTGAATTGTTGACATAGTTATTTTCAGTTTAGAGATAACTGTTTTGGGCTATCGGTGGAGGATAGTCGTGACTGTTGTAGACATTGCATGTGGATTAGGAATAACTGAAACTAATCACATTGGTCATTTGTTTGTTGATATTGGAAGAATGTGAATATGATATATATTGCATTTGCATACATTGTTTTGTGTGTGGGAGGAGATGGGGGATGTACTCCACGGTTTAGGGGAAGTTAGGGGATGGACCTCTAAACCGGATTTTGTTTGGGAGGAGATAGGGGATGGACTCCATTAGCATCACTTTTATGTGTGCTTATTTATATAGAAGTGTTTTATTGATACAGCACTAAAATGTGTATCAATCTGGAAGTATGAAGTGTTTTGATTTGAGCTTGAGTCTCATTTAGTTTGTTGATATTGGAAGGATGTGAATATGATATATGTAATTCACTGTTGTAAGTTGGCCAGGTTCTGAGCCATGTTGATAAAATTGGAAAGTAAATTGTATCATAAACAATAGTGTCATGAGATTGTAAAATGAAGTAATTGGTTATCTTGGTTAACCATCTGTTAAATGCTAATGCTTTATTCATTGCTTATATGTGGTTTAGTATATTTCTACTAGGCTGTGGCTCACCCTTTATGGGAACATCATTTTCAGGTTCAGGTGATAAGCTACCTCCAAGGACTTAGCTTGAAAGGACTTGGATTGTGAAGACTATTTTTTTAGTTATTTGTTTTTTTTTTTCATTTTTAGTACATGTAAACACTCAAGCCTAGGGCTTTATTTATGTTTGAGTTAGAACTCATACTTTGTGTCCAAGTGTTGGCTTGGAAAGATGTAAGCCTGTAGGGCATTTACTTTGATGTTACATGTAATGCTTTTGTTTAGTAAGACTCTGATGGATATTATAATGAATTGTTAAAGTGTTTTCTTTAAATAATACATGTCAATGATATATATAATGGGTATATTTTTGAGGGCGTTACAAACAACCCTGCTCAAAGCATCCTAAAACTCAATCAAGTGGAATTAAAGGACGACAACAAGATATATACCACTACCAACTTCACGGAACCGAGTCCGGAATACAACAGAACAGTAAAGAGACAACCGGGATAGCTATAAAATCTATGTGGAGAAGGAGAGCAATTTTGGTGGCACAGAGATGCCAATTCCGGTGGGTGGGACATTCACTCAAATGTTGACACAATCGCAATCCCCTGACAATACACTTATACAGTCTGCACACATGTTCCCTGTAGATTACCCTCCATTCAATCATTCTCAGAGTTACAATCAATTAAATGCATCACAGAACGTAAATAGTTATTACAGTGCCGGAGCAGGTCCAAGTGCTCCGACAACGTATAATCCGATGGTTCTTACAACCCCATATCCCCACTGGAATGAAGAATGTCCACTGGTTTGTAATGTTCAACGTACATCAGAGACGGCTATCCAAAATTATGCATACTCCGATGATACAGTGCCATTGTTTGACGAGGTTGGAGTAAGTGATGAAGATTCCGTAGAAGATTTGGATGGCGCATAGGAAGGTGTGGACAATGACTCCGGTGATGACGAAGTTGGAGGGCATCATGATATGCAGGAGGTACATAGAAATGTCCATATCCCTTTCTACCATAATTTGCATTTCGACAATGATGGTTCCATCACTAGCCGTGATGTTATCGAACGTTGGCCATTGTGGGACTTCAAAACTGCTAATTTGGAGAAAGAAATGATATTTACTGATAAGAAAGGACTAGTGCACGCTGTTCAGTTGTATAACCTGAAACGTAATCGACAATGCAAGGTCGTAGAATCCAAAGGAAACAGTTGGGTGGCCGAGTGCAAGCACGGCTGCAACTGGAGGGTTTGGGCAACGAAGTTGAAAGACAAAGATTTCTTTCAAATTAGAAGGTTTGAAGTGCCGCATCAGTGTGTGTACCCTAGAATGAATAGGGACAATTGCAACCTCAAGTCCGAGGTCATTGCTCATTTCATCAAGGCACAAATTGCAGTAAGTGCCATGCTAGATACATTATTATTTTTAGGATTTCATTATGACTGTAATGTATTCAAATATAATTTATATTTGCAGATATCACCATAATTTCCGCTTGCTACCATAATTGAGGTCGTGAAGGAGAAGTTTCAGTTCACTATATCATATAAGAAAGCGTGGCTTGCAAGGACGAAGGCAGTTGCAATGGTGTTTGGTGACTGGGACGAGTCGTACCGAAGGTTGCCTAGATATAAGGCTGCATTGCAGGCATTCAATCCAGGCACAGTTGTCACGTGGGACATGTTTCCGAATTTGCACTCTACCTCAATCGGAGCTGAAATGTACATGAACTATGTGTTCTGGGCATTTAAACCTGCAATAGAAGGCTTCAAGTATTGTCGTCCAGTGATATGCATTGACGGCACACACTTGTACGGGAAATACGAAGGAAAGATTGTTGCGGCCACTGCAGTGACTGCTGCGGACAAGATTGTACCTCTTGCCTTTGCCGTTGTTGACAAGGAGATGATCGAGAGTTGGGGTTGGTTCATTACTCTGCTTAGGCGACATGTGTGCCGTGACCGAGAGGGGGTCACATTGATATCCGATCGACACACAGCTTTGCTTAGTGTCGTGTCAAGAATTTGGGACAATCTAGCAGTTCAACCAAGAGGGTACCATAGGTATTGCTTGCGACACGTATGTAGCAATTTCAATGAAAGATTCGGCAATACAGTAGCGAAGGATCTTGTGTGGAGAGCTAGTTCTGCACGGCAAGTGCGGAAGTTTAACAAGATTACGGACGATATCTACAAGCTCGAGAAGAATGCTGAACGGTGGTTTAGACGGATGAACCCTATTCATTGGACATTGTGCCATGATGGTGGTTGTTGTTGGGGCATATTGATGACAAACCATATAGAGGGTTTCAATGGTGTACTGAAAGGCGCACGTAGTGTTCCCATTACAGCATCAATTAAGATAACTTTTTATCGGCTCGTGAAATATTTTGATGAGGGCAGGACCATTGCTGAAAATGCGAGTAATCGGGGTCACTTGTACATGACTAATGTTCAACGATGGATTGACGAGCACCAAGCTAAAGTGAATGTGCATATGTTGGTACCAATTAATAGGTAATTTTTATTGGATGCACCGAATTCACTACACATTAACATTTCGCACTCGTCGATCATTGATGTTAGTCTATATTTAAACATATATGCATATTAATCCACGTACATACATTTTTCCTGCAGGGGAATAGGGGAATATGAGGTGAGGACAGCACCGCATGGGATGGGGGGTGGTGCTCGTCAAATAGTTAGTCTCCGACCATCGAGTTGTTCATGTGGGAAATACACATTATTTCACTTGCCATGTTCCCACATGCTTACTGTGACAGCAGATTTGGGCGAGGACCCTTTTCCTTTCGTTGCACCAGAGTATAGATTGGAAGTCCACAAGCGTATCTTCGCGCAGAAGTTTAGGCCCATGTCGCACAAGCAATATTGGCCTGACAATGATTACCCAACTTTGCTTGCTATTCCAGCTCGACAACGTGAAGTTAAAACGGGTTGTCCTCAACATAGCCGCATACATAACGAAATGGATACTTCCAGATAAAGTGGATTGCACCATTGTAGTTTGTGTTTGCAAAGAGGGCATGATAAGAGAAAATGTCCAGCGACAATCCGATCGATTCGACAGTAGTTTTTTGTCTTCTTTACATATTAGTTCCACACTACTTTCTCTGAATTGGAGTCAATGTAATATTCAATGAATCAGTATTCAGTAAATTGATAATGTATTTATGACTTCAATTACTAATGACATAGATTTGGTCAAATGTGGCAAATCTCTTCAATTGCTTTAGTTGTTGCAAGTGTCCTTAGTGCACTGGATTGTGCAGACTTTGGTGCGTTGATGGTCGATTATGTCTTGACCTCGATGGACACCAGTTTATCTAATGTTAGAAAAATGCAAATATTCACAGAATGAATTGATAATCACCAATATAAATGCAGTTTGTATTCAATGTTTTGCCACATTTTGTTATGTGGAAAACTAATTTTTTCTTTTAATTTTTTTTCCAAAATCCATTACGTGGGTGAAGGCCCATTTTATGAATTCAATCATTTCTCAGACATTTACTACGTATTCGTATATGCTTAGTTCTTGTAAAAAGTTTGACTAATGTATTTCAAATCTACATAAAACCCTCTTCAAACCTTCGTACTTCTTTCCTGTCCAAATGACAACTCCTTTAAAGTGAAAGCACGTTTTTTCATGTCATACAGGTTGACGTGACAACACACTGACAATAACTTTAATCACATAGGTACCATGTGAACCTTATCTCCTATGACAATAATGTCAAATGAATCACTAATCACCAATATAAATGCATGTCATATTTAATGTGTTGCCACATTTTGTTATGTCGTGAATTGTTTTTTTAGTTTCCAAAAATTCATTACGTGACAGAAGACCATTTTATCAATTCAATCATGTGTCTTAAATTTAGTACATATTGGTAAATGCTTAGTTGTTCTAAAAAGTTTGAGTAGTGGATTTGAAATCTACTTAAAGCATGGGTTTTCACGTCATAAAGCTTGACGTGACAACGCGCTGACAATATCTTTAAACTCACAGGTACCATGTGTACCTTATCTCCTATCACAATAATGTGAAATGAATTACTAATCACCAATATAAATGCATGTAATATTCAATGCATAGCCACATTTTGTTAGGTGGTGAATTGTTTTTTAGTTATCAAGAAATTTTTCCAGGTAACCCTTTCTTTTTGTTTTCCCTAACTTGTTGCAGTTTGTATACCTGTGATATACTGTCAGGTCGTATTCTCATTTTGTCAGCATATGTATGTACTGTTGTCAAACATCTTGTTATCGGATATCGATTTCATATATGAAAACTTGTGCAGGTCTATGACTCATTTACCAGAGGAGATCCCATTATTGATTCATCAGCATCGAGCCGATACGATATGGCGTCAGTCGGTATGAATTATTTACTTATAATCGATATTTGAATACTACACAAACACTGTAGCTGTTACATAATATAATGTGAAACTGTAAATGTTAGTCCATGGATCATCCTATTTGGACATTTCAATGGTTTAGACAAATTTCCCCAAGTGTAAACGTTAGTCCATAGAGAGAGAACGAAGAAGATTATATTAAATGGACCGCTAGCTTAACCCAAAAAAAAATGGTTAAAAAGTTGATAATCATCAAGTTTAACAATTACCCCAAGTTCACGCTTACGATGAAATAAAGGACTTTTAAATACAATTCCTAAAATAAAAGAAGAAATAAATATCACAAACAAAATTCTTTTTTATAGAGGTTGAATTCATAATCTTATAGCACAAAATAATATTATATAATCATCAAATCAGAAGTCCTAGTTCATCACCCATTACCTACTAAAAAAATCCATTAAATAATCCAATTTCAGCGACTCATAGTACCATCGCAGTGTGGAAAACTAGATCTGTCTACTTCCTTACTTGAACAACATTATTTCAGTTGATAAATTTCAATAAAAAATTTTAAAAATAGATGGAGTTTGCCCTTTCAAAAATAGTTAAGTGTTGTAACAGTAGGAACCACCCGCTGGTTTTTGGAATTCATAGTACGAACTGTTTTCACACTATTAACCCACATTGACTTTTTCAATTTTTATGAGACGATTTTCAATATAATTTACATGAATTGTTTGTAGTTTTTTTTTTAATTATAATTTCAGAGTTGCGTATTGGCCTGTTGGTGCAACTTTTATTTTTAAATAAGTTGAAAAAGTTAATTACCATAATGTTACAGAAATAATGCTTTCGGCGTCTTTTTTGTTACTAACCTTTAACTTACAATAAACTATACCAAATAAACACATGAAGGGGTTCGTTTGGGATGTGGGTTGACTTTTTGGCTTTTTAACTTTTTAGCTATTTTAGCCTGTGGCTAAAAAGCCTCACTTGGGATAGGCTTTTTGGCTTTTGTAAAAGAAAAAATGAAATGAATATTGTTTAGATGTAACATTTTGTGTTATTGGCTTTTTAGCCTATTTTGTCTTTTCGCCATAGCGAACGAAGGACCAGTTGTTCATTCCTTGTCTTCTACCTAGTTAACAAAGTGAGTCAACATTATTTCTTGTAAAAATTGTCATCACGTAAGTAGTTGAGAACATTAAATAAATAACACCACATGATACTCTAGGATGACTAATTATTATCCTTGCTAGCTGGCTAATTATGTAGTTCTCTAGGAGAAAAATATGTTGATTCACTTTTGTTAAATAATTAAGAAATAATAAATAATTCACTTAATATGTTATGATTTCTCATTTGTTGATTCATCTGTGAAGCGTTTTGCCAATTCCGAATAACATAATCTTCTACTTGCCAGCGATTTCTTATTTTATATTTTGACTGTCCTAAAAATTATATAAAATAAGAACACAAACAATTTCAATTATTGACAAAGTGAGCATTTTAGCTTGTTCGTTTACTTAAATAACTTTTAACTTATTTCATACTACAACAACTTGCATTAATATAGTTCGAGCGACATTTTTCATTTCAAAATAAAGGACTTTAAACACTTCAAAATATATTCATTATATGTTATATTAGTCTGTAATATTTCATTGTATTCATTTGATCCCCAACTTATTTAATTCTCAATGATGAAATGATGGCTTAGTTATATTTTACGCCCTTCTAATTTAACTGAAAACCACATAAACCCCCATTGCAGTCTACAGTGAATGGTACAACCCAACTTCGTTAACAGGTGTACCAAACATTCTAAAACTTATATTAGTTTTGATGGAGCCTTTTATTTCTATGTCATGACACTGCAAATCTGTGTCTGTATGCATTTATCTTTGTACATTTACACCACTTATGTAAATCAAAGTATAAAACATGCAGCGGATAAAATGTTTAGATCATACCTTTTTGATGATAGAACCTCGTGGATAAATCACATGCTTCCAAAGTCTGATAAACCAACCCAGCAGTGAAGTGATATCACAGATTGAATATCACCCACACAAATCACAGTGCAAATGACTTGATTGTTGTTTTTGGGAGAGAGTCAGTATATGGGTAAAACTCAGATCATACGTTGTTTTTCTTTTTTTTTTTCACCCATAACCCATATACCAGATATATAATATGTTATTATTATTTTATCCATATCAGTTAATGAAGATAATATCTATATCCTGAGTGGTTATCCTAAATAGGTTTGAATTCAATTTCAAAACCTATTTGGATAAGATTCAAATTCAAATTCAAATTCAAATGGTCATGCCACATGGGCGCCCATTACTAACAACTTACGCACTATGCACTACTAAAATGTTGGTTATCTCACCCACTGTTTCAGTTAATAGAAGATGGGTTCATTATGAAATTTCAATTGTCATTTGTACAAGCATTATGTCTCTTACACACAATGTTGTCTTGTGCAGGCGGAAGATCAGTCGAAATTGAAATGCCGATGATCTGATTCGGGCATATGGGACACCGCCTTGGACCATAGAATCCTACGTTGCCTACTCCGTGCGAGGTTCTACGGGGTGTATCGGATCGGGCCTATTCGATTGGACCACCATCTCGTTACAACTCTCGTAGAGAGGTGGCGCATAGAGACGCGCACATTTTATTTTCCTGTTTGAGAGTCCACAGTTACATTACAAGATGTGGCTATTCTATTTGGCCTACCGGTTGACAGACACGCAGTCACTAGAAAAGACCCAGGAAATAAGTTGGATGATTTGATAGTGCTATGTGTGGAGTTGTTAGAAGCAGCACCTACAGAAGAAGACTTCATAGGCTCATCGCTTAAGTTGAAATGGATATCAGAGCATTTCCGTCACCTTCCACATGATGCATCCGATGAGACGGTTCATCATTATGCTCGAGCCTATATTATGTGGCTTATTGGGGGGGGTACTCGTCCCCGATAAGTCACAAAATATAGTCAAGATGATGTTTTTGCCACTACTTAGAGACTTTGACCGTATCTAGGAGTACAGCTGGGGTGGTGCCACATTGGCATGTTTGTACAGGATGTTGTGATACAAAGGAGATAGCTGGCCCACTAGTGTTGTTACAAGTGAGTTGCAATGACTTGTAGTTTTATCTAATATTCTCAATTGCCATGTTTTCTAAAGTGCCTACTGTAATAAATTAATAATGGCACCATTCATTGTAGGTTTGGGCATGGGAGAGATTGAGCAGGATCGCCCCTAGTCGGAAGTCGAACATTGCTGCTGGCAAGCGTGCCATAGGGGAGGGCGACCAGCTGTTACCACCTGGCCCGCGAGCTTGTAGGTGGAGGGTTTCCTTCAGCCATGAGGTGATATCGACTAATGTCGGTGTCATCTTTCAGGACCAGTTCGACCGCATGGTGGAGGGGGAGGTTCGTAATTTGTTCATGTGAATTTACCCATTTTTTTGTATGTCAACCTCCCTTGTACGAATAGATCTCTAAATTATTGCATTGCTATTGCAGTTCATATGGGAGCCTTACGGGACGGAGGATGACATCATGACCAGCTTCCCATCGTATTGTACCGTTGGTCGAGACATATGGATGGCACAAGTGCCACTTATATGCTTCGATATCATTGACTGGCATCTCCCCGACCGGGTGCTTAGACAATTTGGACAAGTTCAGAGTGTGCCTGATCGCTTTGACGCCCACTTGGCTATGCATTTTAGAGATAGGCGTGGCAAAATGGCCATTGATTGGGCAAAGGAATACCAGACATTTATTGGTGAGTGAAACAACTGACGCAACACCATTGTCCATGCTGAGAGGAGCAATGAAGTGCTTACATCTTCAGACCCATACATGTTATGGTTTCGCCGTCATACACGTCTAGTACTTAGTAATCCGAGTGACATTGCTGCCTTCGGATACCAAGGCGTCGGGGGTAGTTTAGAGGGATTGGTAAGTTCTTTATATTCTCCAAAACAACATTTGCTTAAGTTTGTGTATGTTTGTTATTTGGCATTGATGGTTATGTAACACAGCTACCATTACATTACAGGTTCGTAGAGTTGCGAGGGCATATCACATGACAAACGCTACCCATATTACACGCAATGGTCGAGAGGGATTGGATGCCATTGCCGACATACGGGAGTTATTGTACGATGGTTTGCAACAAGCACACCGACGTGACCGACTAGATTTCGGCCACTTTGGCGAGGATCCTTATATGGGGGTAGATATTACAGTGACATCAATGCCGTACCCGAATATGCCATCCACTGAGCCATCGACATCAATGCCATCAATATCAATGCCTCCACCGCATCCTACCACACGTCATGCACATCAATCAGACTATTTTGATATGGAACATTTTGGTGAGGGGCCTTCCATGGGCCTGTCCCCTCATGGTCCATCTACAGCAATGCATACACTGCAGACTTCCCCACCTGAATGTACCAATTACACATCCCAGTTTGCCCCTGAAGTAGATCCTCTAATGTCTGAACATACTTCCACACACCATGGCCATATATTGGACCCCTCCTGGTCACCACCCCCCTATACGACAGCGGTTGGTACCCCGGTGACTCCCTTAGCACCACTGTCTACTACATGTCTGTCTACTATGATTCCCTCTGCGTCAACATTGACCGCACCCGACCCTTTTACAGTACCATCATCTCCTGCACCACATATAACCTTCACCTACCATGTTGATCCACTCATTACCCATGACTTCCACATTGACGGGGAGGGGGAGGGCCAGTTCCATGCACCTACCAGAGGGACAGGTAGGGGTAGAGGTTGTGGCGATCGTCGTGGTGTAAGTAGAGGCCGAGGGCAAGGGCGACGCCAAGCAATAGGCCATGACAATAATGCAGCGGATGATGGCGTTTCACAGCTTAGTGTCGTATGTGAAGGTGTGCCGGAGGTGGTATCAAATGATTGTACTGCAGCCATTGGTGATGTGCAGCCAGCTTCTACAGAAGCGGGCGAGGGAGTCGTACGTGCAGCAGCGCAAGATATACAGAGAGTATATAGTAAGAGACCCAGGAGACAAACCCATGGAAGGGGTTGTGGAACAGGGGGAAAATTAGGACATTAGGAACAACCAACATTGGTAAGTATATTCAAACATTATCTTCAGGTGGTGTTTTCACTTCGATTAGTCTACATTGTTTAAGCTGTGGCTTATTATATAGTTCTAGCTTTTGGCTTATCTTATCTTGTAATTGTGGCTTATTTTATAAGATTCTAGATGCTGATGCTATTGCTATTGCTATTTTTGTTATTGTTTTGAAGGAACGGGTAGTTGCTTGCTGTGTTGCTGGTTGCTTGCTATTTTTTCATTCTGGTTGTTGTCGGCTGTGTGTTGCTGCTGCTGGCTTGGATCAGTGAGTTGATAATTGGGTATGAATTTTATGGTCTTTTGCAACGTGCATGATGCACATACTTATGCATTGAACATTTTTACTCAGAGCTAATGTTGCTGAACCCTTGTTTTTTGAAGCTTGGAATTGGGTTGCACATCATGATGGCAAAAAGAAATCTCTCCCTAGTCACAACATTTGCCTTTCTTTCATGTGGATACCTTTGTAGCTCCTACCAATAGGTTGTCTGTTGTATATTAGTAATAATTTTTTGCCCTTTATATACTTTTGTGCCATATGGAACAAAGTGTGTCATTTTTACCTACCAAGTATTCATTTTTTTTGTTTTTGTTTTTGTGTAGGTTAAATCTGTTGTGTTGCGTACGCTGAATCGAGCCAGGTTAAATGTGGCTATAGATTCCTTCCTTAAGACAAGTTAGGACAAGTGCCCCACTCACCTGTGCTGATGGGGTTCTGTTGTTTGATCATCTCACTTAATCATCAAGTCCCATATGCACATAAAATGAAGGCCCTTTTCTGATATCCTGTGGCTTAATTGTGTTGTGTATTTATTTTGCAAGGAGAGTTCCAACACTGGAGGAGGGAAATAGGATGGAAAAAATATTCAATTTTCCCTGGTCAAAAGAGAGGTCTGTTGTTCTCCGTATGCAGCATGTATATAACAGCACCTGATGCACATTTTTTGGCGACTAAAATTCAAATTTGTCAGCGTTGGTTCAAGATACCGATACTAAATTTTTTTTGTCAATAAATATTACTTATTGGCGACTAAATTTAAATTTAGTCGCCAAATAGTACTTTTGGTGACTAATATTTTCGTCGCTGTTCAGTAATTTAACTATTGCTGGTCTTTTACTATTAATACCATTTTCTCAATTCCAACAGATCGACTTGCAACTCTTTTGGCTAAAGAGAGAAGCCATTCACTGACTTACATTGGATGCATAAAGAAAGGACCTGTGATAACTGACTCTAAACTGAAGTGGTAGATAGGAAAACTTTTACCCCTCCCTCTCCTTTAAATATATATTTTTTTGTTTTTTTGTTTATGCAATAATGTATATATTTGATGAAGTGTGTATAACTATTCGCAACCTAATTTTTGAGTTTGGTGTTGTATTGCAAATATTTGCAGGTATGAGAAATCAGGACATTTGATTGGTAGTAAATACGTCTTGCATGCTTATGGTACTACTTGACACGAAGCTAACTATCCTAATTTTTGGTGCTGCATTTTACGCAACTGGTAGTTAAGTTTTCTTTTCAACTATGATTCTCTTTATTTTACTGTATTCTGATCCATTTTTTCTTTGATAACATTGCTTAACAGTCATAAAGCAGCTATTACTGCTGGTAATAATGGGATTCCTATTGGAGTGCATGGATATGAATTTGGGAAAGCGAGTGGAATGGCTCCCCGTGCCAGGCGAGGATAAAGATCTGATACTAACTTTTCATTACCCTTTTCCCCAATGCTAGTTTCAATAGCAAATCCTTTTGTTCATGTGTTCAGAATTGCTGTGTACAAGGCACTATACAGGCTTTTTGGAGGGTATGTTGCTGATGTGGTTGCTGCTATTGAGCAGGTAAACGGATATGTGGATACTGAGTTCAAAAATAGGAGATGCTAATACTAGACTTTTATTTTTCAAATGTTCACTCTAAATGATTTTCTTCACATGGGTAACTATTGATTTTTGACGACAAACCTATATAATCTAGACATGTTCCATCCTTACACATATCCACACTGTTGTCTAAGTGTCAGGAGTCGGGCATCTGACATTGTTATTTGAGTTGTTTTGGGAACTTCATGTAACATAGATTAAGAGTTACAATAATTTAGTATAGACTTACATACTCTCTTTTTCTTTTTGGCTTCCTTATGCTAAAAATATACACAATAAAATGTGTAATGAGTTATTCCATTTTTTCACTACATGGTGGTGGGATAAGTTTGGTCTTCATCTGTTTTTTTATCACTCATTTTCCTGTATGTCTCAAATTTCAAGGGAGCAACCATAATTTTTAGCATTGGGGGATAAGAGACCAATCATAAATTAGTTGGATTATTGCATATGTAGCCGGCCCATTTGATGGGACTTCAGGCTTAGTTTTGGTTTGTTGCATATGTACTCTATTTGCATTGTGTGCTTAGCTATCACCCCCACCCTCTCCCAAAAATAATTAAGTGAAGCAAATCTTCTATCTTGCTAATACTTTTTTGCCTTTTGAGTTTTTTTAATGCCCTTACTCATTTAGCGTCTTTTGAGCTCAGTAAGTATTGACTATTTTGTTGGTAGGGGTGAAATCGGTTCGGTTCGGTCGGTTTTTTCACTAGTTTTGCACCGAACCAATCATTTCGATTTTTCATATTTGTGAACTGAACCGCCCAGAAAAATGACATAAACCAGCGCGGTTCGGTTTATTACGGTGCGGTGCGGTTTTTTCGGTTTTTCGATTTTTTGGCCTTTTTTTTTCCTAGTTGGGCCTCACATTTTGGGCCTATATTTCTATCCATTCTGCATAAAATTTGGGCTCAGGCCATGTAATTCCTACATAGGTTTGGGGCCTCACATTTTGGGCCTATTAATATTATATAAGTCGGTTCGGTTCGGTTCGGTTCAAAAAATAAAAATCGTAAACCGAACCGAATGTACAGAAAAACATAAACCGAACCGAACCGAACGATTAAAAACTTAAAACACCGACCAAAAACCGTTCGGTTCGGTCGGTTCAGTCGGTTTGGTCGGTCCTTCCGGTTATTCTTTCACCCCTATCTGTTGGGAAAAATTGTTCTTTAAATTTATTTAAGGTTGTACCTTTTCTTGCAAATTGTAATTGAACATTGTGTGCATCAAGTGCGATAGTGATTTTTTAATTAATTATGATTTTTATATAGGATATTATTTTATAACAATTTTTGGGTTTTTTTTAAGAACAGATGAAGGATGAGAACCTAGCAGAAGTGCCACTCTCCTTAGTCAGTTTAGGATCCTTGAGCTATAGTAATTTAGCTTAGGATCCTTGAGCTATAGTAACTTAGTTTGATGCCTTAGCTATGGAAACATGGCATGGGATAGATGTGACATGGTACGACTAAATTTTTTTTAAAAGAGGATAGGAATACACCAATGGCATGGTTTTACACACGTATTTATATATTTCTGGGCATATAAAGTCAGAATGTATTTTTTTATATTATTATTTTGAAGAACAATCTGTTTTTATGAATCTTAAATATTCTAAATTTTTACACATCATTAAAAAATTATGCTTGGAGAAACCAATAAAGAAACGACTCCAATTGGCAAAAAGAAGAATGATTCAAACCCTCAATAGTTCTACGTTTAGAACTATACAACACCGAAGCTATTCACCACTCAGCTCTGAAGTAGTAAGTATAGCATTTGATTTTTTGTTATGATTTTCTGAATCATTTTAGTAATTATACTTCGCTGCTATTCTAGAAATGCAACATTTCAATATTCAAGATTCAGGTTTTAGTTGAGAAGTGTTGGGACTTGTTTAAAATTAAACACTTGTGTGCATAAAAAAGGTGATCAAAATATCTATACTCTTAGGAAGGATTTGGCAATCTGCGAGTACTTGTAGAGACGTGTTTCTCTCTCTCTCTCTCTCTCTCTCTCTCATTATGTGTGTTTGTTTGTTTGTTGGTTTGTGTACTTGTTTATACAATGTGACATGTGATTGATCAGAACATCCCTATATGCTCTCTTTTCTGTTAATCTGCTGTGCTATTCCTTGTTTGCTCTAGCTTACCTTGGGGAAGCATGTGAAATAAGGGCAGAGACAGTGCTTTAGAAATGAAGATATAAGATTGCTGCTATAGTGCCATTGAATCTCTAGCTAGAGTGCTGCTGCTTTTTTTTTTTTTTTTTGGATGAGGTAGGCCTGACTATTTTTTTCATTTATATCTACAGTTTCAAATAACATGTCATACTTGATTTTACGTATGTAAAATGGCCTAAGGAAAATCTATCTTGTTTCAGTTCATAGAATACTTAATTTTCTATCTCCATGCCTGCTTAATTTATAGATAACGACATGCCATATTCCAAAGTAAGGTGGAAAATGAAGCTACATGATTACCTTTAATGCTGCTCCTGATCTTGTTTGATATAATTGTACTTAATGTAGAAAAAGCTAGCATTTTTTCAAGATTGTTTTATTTGTTAATTTATTAGTAAATTATTATACTAATTACCACAAGATTGTACAGAATCACGTGGAGGGATTTCTTTTGACATATATATGGTTCCTTGGAGTTGCTAATGTTAAATGTTTTGTTGTTTCAGGTTTATGAGGAGCTTGTTCAGGCTATCAAAGATGCAGAGCAATGGCTCCTTCAGTTGAAACGTGCGAGGTTGCTGCGAGAGGTGGATTCGGTTCTAGATAGTTCCAAGTATGTCGCTGATGATGTCAAAGTGGAGCCCCTTGATCCAACACAAGTTGAAGCAGAACCACTGGCGGATCTAAGTTATTCTGTTGGATCTAAGTGTAGATTCCGCCACACTGATGGACGTTGGTATGATGGTCTGATTTTTGGGTTGGAAGGTTCTAATTCAGCGAAGATTTCTTTCCTCACACCAACATCTGAAAACATGTTGGTGAGTCTAATCTTTTGTCTTGTTTATTTTTCCTTTATTGTAGTTACAACATCTGCTTTTAAATTGACCTTTCTAGTTTAACTTGTTTATTTATTGAATTATATATATTCTGGATGCCGATCTTTGGTTGAGTAGATTCTATTAGAGAAAAATCTGCTATTAAGATCTTATTGCATTCCCAGTGTATCATAATTTCTGGTAGACGATAGCGAACATTGGTTTACTCTTTGATGCATTAAGATGATATCCTATGAGTTTGAGTAGAACAAAAGTTATTGACCTTAATGAAATGCTAATTTTCAGATGAAGTTTTAAATATTCGAGTTAACAGATCTCTCTCTCTCTCTATATATATATATATATATATGTAGCGTATACAGTAATGCTTTTAATTAGGTTTTTTTGCACTACACTCCAAAACATTTCTTTGTTCTGTTCTTGGACTTTGTGAGATGACTTTCAAATAAGGTGAATGTATTTAGGAACGTGTTATTACAGTTTCCAACTTTAATACTAAGTTGCATAAACATTGTACACTGTCATACATGAACAAATATGAGTGCAATGGTGACCCTGTCCTACGTAGTGTCACCAGCCAAAAGAAAATCACAAATGGGTTTACATAGACATCTCTATTATTAAATAAAGTGAATCTTATTTTTTTTCTTCATTCGGCTTTTGTTCTTTCATTGCTTTATATTCAATGTGTACTTTGGACTTTGTCAGGTGGCATAGAGGTTGGCCAAGGAGAAATTGTTTTGGGATTTGTTTCGGGTTATGTTGGGGAGTCTGGAGATTAAATATCATTGGGTTGGTTGGGAGATTGTTTGTGCTCCAGTTTGGAGAATAGGTTTGGGTGGCTATTTTTAATAGAACACTCTTGGGTAAATGTTTGTAGATATTTTCATTTGAAAAAGGATAAGTATTGGACTTGGATAAATGTGGTCATGGCTAAATAAGGGAGTTACTGGGGGAGATTGGAACTTACAGGAAGTGACAATGTCTCATGGGGTAGGACTTTGGAAGGGTATTCATCAGGTTTGGGATGACTTCTCGAGATTTGTAAGTTTTAGGGTGGGAAACAGATAGAGTAAATTTTTAGAAGGATAGCTGACCCAGTGTTTGAGACCTTGGACGAAGATTTCCTTTCTATATTTCTTCTTGAGATAAATTATAGAGCTTAACATAAATTATATAAACTTTACACAAATTATAGTGCTTGCTTAGTTATTTCAGGTCACAGATGATTGAATAGGAATAGAGCTTAACAGTTGGTATGATTTTAGCCCTCGTCTGCTCTGATTCTGTTCATATGCATTAACTTTGCCGAAAACGCCTTAAACTTAACCAAAAAAGGGCCTTAAGGGGGTGAAAATACGAAACAGCCCCCGAACTATCGTATGGATGCCACGGCCACCTTCCCCATCATAAATAGGACCTGTGACAACAGACGGATTGTAATTAGCACGTGTAGGTTGGGAGTTAGAGCCGAAAACGCCTTAAACATAACCGAAAAAGGACGTTAAGAGGGCGAAACTGCGAAACAACCCCCGAACCACCGTTCGGATGTCACGGTCATCTTCCCCATCATAAATAGGAGTTGTGACAACAGACGAAATTTAATTAGCCCGTGTAGGTTGGGAGTTAGAGCTGAAAACACCTTAGCTTAACCGAAAAAGGGCCTTAAGGGGGGCGAAAATACGAAACAGCCCCCAAACTACCGTATAGATGTCACGGCCACCTTCCCCATCATAAATAGGACCTGTGGCAATAGACAGATTGTAATTAGCACGTGTAGGTTGGGAGTTAGAGCCGAAAACGCCTTAAACTTAACCGAAAAATGGCGTCAAGAAAGCGAAAATACGAAACAACCCCCGAACTACCGTATGGATGTCACAGCTAACTTCCCCATCATAAATACGAGTTGTGACAATAGACGGAATTGAAGTAGCACATGTAGGTTGGGAGTTAGAGCCGAAAAAACCTTAAACTAAACTGAAAAATGGCGTTCAGGGGGCGAAATAGCGAAACAGCCCCCGAACCACGTTACAGATGTCACGACTACATTGCCTGTGACAAATAGGACCTGTGACAACAGACAAAATGTAATTAGCACGAGTAGGTTGGGAGTTAGAGCTAAAAATGCATTAAACTTAATAGAGAAATGGCGTTAACAGTGCGGAAAAGCAAAAAGGGCGTTAAGGGTGCGAAAAAGCTAATTGATAAACTCACTTTGTTGCTGTATAATTGATATTGTGTGTCATATCCTCATAAATCGTAATTTGCCTATTTTAGATGAAATAACAATATGTTAAGCTAAAGGAATGATTGACTGATTTTTATTTATATAGTCTTGCTATATCACTTGGTATATTCGTTGTGTTATTCATCTAAATTCAACTGAGTTAGTTATCTAATTTTTTCCTTCTCCATAAGCTAAATTACTTGTTAAATAAATTGAACCACATTCTGTTTAAACAAAAATCAAGCTCTGCATTTTTTATTACTTACCTCACTGGTTTTTGTTGCAAATTGATTATGTTGCCATGGATACAGTGATGCTTTTGGGCCAAATTGATGATGTTTGCATGGGCGCAATTTACATTATATTTTTTCTTTATGGAAAACATGTACAGTTGATATGTTTTGTTATTACGTTTCTTTTTTTTTATAGTTTGAATTGTAATTGTTGGTTCGGATAGTATATGTATTTGTTAGATTATACTATGTTTATGAATTCTTATTTTCTTTGATATGTACGACTAATAGTTAAGTTGTGTATATGGTTGAAAATTGAATGCTACAGGTTGTGGAGAAATATTTTTATTGAATGGTTGAGAATTGAATGAATGAATGGATAGATGAATAATTTTGTATATGCACAGGTTACAGGTGACACAAAAAGTATTATTTCTTGTATTGTTATTTGGTGTTAGAACAGGTGTGTTGTTTTTTCTTAATGGGTTGAGCTTCGAAAATAAACTCCGCGTTAATGTTGAAAATTTACAGTAGGAGCGTCATGAAAATTTACCCCCACCAATTATCCCAGAAAATGAAATTAAAATAGAAATATAATATCATGAACCCAAGTAAACACAAAATCACAATAATGCTGCATTGCATAACAACAATATATTGTACAAGTTCACATTAGAAAGATACAAAACTTAATGCACCATCTATTCCAATAGAACATGGAAAATGTTAGGGTAAGGAAAACAAATTCATTTCGACAGATAAAACAAAATTTGTTAGTTGGAGAAACAATCTCAAAGCCAAGTGGTTGGTCTAGTTGGGGGACTAATAAAGTTAAGACAGACGAACTGCCGCCTTCAACAGCACAGAAAACAGAATAGGTAGCTCAGTCAAAAACTTCCCTTAACTACGACTCATCAAATAGTGATCATCTTCTTAAAGAATTTCAATCTCCATCAGGAAAGACGAAAGAGTCGCCTTTCAATTTCTGGAAGTCCAGTCAAAATGATGACTGTGGTAAGGAATGGGGGGTTGACAAAAAACTAAACTTGGGGGCAAGACAAACATTACCGAAAAACAAGTGGTTCGTCCAATTGGGGGACTAATAAAGTTCAGACAGACGAACTACCGCCTTCAACAACACAGAAAACAGAACGGGTAGCTCAATCAAAAGCTTCCCTTAACTAGGGCTCCTCAAATAGTGATCCTCTTCTTAAAGAATTTCAATCTCCATCAGGAAAGACGAAAGAGTCGCCTTTCAATTTCTGGAAGTCCAGTCAAAATGATGACTGTGGTAAGGAATAGGGGATTGACAAAAAACTAAACTTGGGGGCTGGACAAACATTACCAAAAAACAAGTGGTTGGTCCAGTTGGGGGACTAATAAAGTTCAGACAGACGAACTACCACCTTCAACAACACAGAAAACAGAACAGATAGCTCAGTCAAAAGCTTCCCTTAACTGGGGCTCCTCAAATAGTGACCTCTACGTAAAGAATTTCAATCTCCATCAAGAAAGAAAAAAGAGTCACCTTCCAATTCCTGGAAGTTCAATGAAAATGATGACACTAGTAAGGAATGGGGGGGTTGACAGAAAACTAAACTTGGGGGCTGGACAAACAAGCTCAAAGCCAAGTGGTTGGTACAGTTGGGGAACTACTAAAGTTCATACAGACGAACTACCACCTTCAACAACACAGAAAACAAAATAGGTAACTCAATCAAAAGCTTCCCTTAACTGGGGCTCCTCAAATAGTGACCTCTACGTGAAGAATTTCAATCTCCATCAGGAAAGAAGAAAGAGTCACCTTCCAATTCCTGGAAGTCCAATCAAAATGATGACTCTAGTAAGGAATGGGGGGGTTGACAGAAAACTAAACTTGGGGGCTGGACAATCAAGCTCAAAGCCAAGTGGTTGGTCCAATTGGGGGACTACTAAAGTTCAGACAGACGAACTACCGCCTTCAACAACACAAAAAATAGAGCAGGTAGCTCAGTCAAAAGCTTCTGTTAACTGGGGCTCCTCAAATAGTGACCTCTACGTCAAGAATTTCAATCTCCATCAGGAAAGAAGAAAGAGTCACCTTCCAATTCCTGGAAGTCCAGTCAAAATGATGACTCTAGTAAGGAATGGGGGGGTTGACAGAAAACTAAACTTGGGAGCTGGACAAACAAGCTCAAAGCCAAATGGTTGGTCCAGTTGGGGGAATACTAAAGTTCATATAGACGAACTACCGCCTTCAACAACACAGAAAATAGAACAGGTAGCTCAGTCAAAAGCTTCCCTTAACTGGGGCTCCTCAAATAGTGACCTCTACGTAAAGAATTTCAATCTCCATCAGGAAAGAAGAAAGAGTCACCCTCCAATTCCTGGAAGTCCAGTCAAAATGATGACTTTAGTAAGGAATAGAGGGGCTGACAGAAAACTAAACTTGGGGTTGACCTGAAATTTATGAAATCACTACATTTATAAGTACACAAATCCATTCATTGAAGTATTTGTAGAATTACTTGAACTATTCAAAAACAATTGAAATATCTCCCTTCATTGATAAGTCGTGGATAAGCATTACAAATCCATTACAACATAAATGGTTTGGTCATTCATCCAAACAATTTCATTCATTATCATCATCATCTGACATCTCAATATCAGATTCATACATAACATCCGTGCTCCAGGCGAAGTACTGGTGTGCATCACCCATTAACCCATCTTCGGCACGCTCATTTGCGGTCTTCATTAGTGAGGACCTTTGCAAACGTTGGGTCATGCGATTAACTTCGTCGCGGATACGATGCAATACCCTTTGCAACAACTATGGAGTGTCAGTTGGCATACGCATGGCTAACCGGTGAGGAATTTTAATATTAACTTCATGACATAACTTAACGAGAACGTTTGCTCGAGTTATGCGAAATTCCCACTCAGCTCTCATGGTATTGACGGTGGCACGTGAGTAACGCAAATTTGGATTAAGTGGGTATTGAAATTCATCTCCATCTGCAACCCAATAGTGACCCATTGTTGAATACAGATCAACCACCGTATATCTCATGATGATATCGCTCGAAATAGCTGTAAAACTTTTGTTGTGGTATGATGCGATATTTATACCATATATACACATGGTAGCTGTATGTATAAAATTATTGTAAACAACTATGCATCAGAGTTGTCACGTCAACATTTATGACCTGAACAACTATGCATCAACTTGATAGGAGTTGTCACTTCGATTTTTATTTACTACTCAGTGCATATCTGAAGGTTTTTAGCAAAGTTTTAATCCGCTTGGAAATTTAATTTAATTTTTCCGCTTACAAATATAATTCAATTTATTTTGCCTTGACAACATATTTAATTTCATTTTTTACCTTACATATTTCATTTAATTTAATTGGAGAAATTTGACCAATTTAATTTGAAGTTAATTATGTGTTGATTTAAGTCGGTGTTGTTCTTGTTTGTAACACTTTCAAGTTCTGTTCATCGAAAAACCCATTCATTCTAACTCTACTACAAATTAATCTTCAATACATTCTAACTGTATAATATTTCTTCTTCAACGTTTATGAATCTATTTGGGGGTGCATAGGGTGGCTTTTTAAACACAAAGGGTCTAATTGTTTTGTTATTTTGTTCTGACACCCCCCCAAAATTTTTATGAATTGCATAATTCACATGGGCACAGTAGGTGTGGTACGATAATAAATTGTAGCTCGGCACAGTGATACGTCCAACATTTCTCAGTGATACTCGCCAGTGACTTGAACAGATGTAATAATTTGGATGCTTTGTTTTTTCCTCAGATGCTATGTGAATTTGTGCAACGATGCAGTGATACATATGACTTTGTTCAGTGATGCAGTGATGTATGTCACTTTATGCAGTGATGCAGTAATGCATGTGACTTTTTGACTTTGCCATGCATGTGACTTTTTTCCTCACATTACGTGATGCATGTGACTTTGTGCAGCGCAACGTACATGCTTTGTTTTTTCCTCACATTTCAGAATTCATGTAAGTCACATTAATACGACCACATGGCAATAGTGTTGATAAACAATTATGTGATGGACTGAAGGCAGTGAAGTGTAATTTACCGAATATAAAAAGAAGCAGAAAATACTACTCAGTACACAGTCACGGGTACTTAGGAGTGCATGAAATGAATAACATAAAATAATATCACGGGTATCACTTCTTCCATAGTGCTCCATCATGCATTATCATCACTAGATCATCTCTAGTTAACCCCCACTATGATGTCTATAAATAGCGATACCTCCAGTATGATGTTTGTTCTAGTAATATATCTACAATTACTATTATTATTTGTTGGTTTATTTTATGAACAATGTCTTCAAGAGGTGCAGGAAGTTCACGCCGGCAAAGAAATCTGAAAGTGTGGCTGCTACCTCCATTTACTTATGACTACAAGAGCGAAAAGTACTCGAGTCCGAAAGATTATTATGCTGGTATCCGAGCAGAATGGGCGTTCAGGGTAACAGAGCAAGAAGGATTGTTTAATGATCTACGTAACTTTGGGGCACCGGTACCTCATCGTCGTTCATTGACCATGGCTAGACGAAATGTGAGTGACTATGAAAAAGCAGTTAGCAGAATTAAGAAGGAGAACAACAGAATGTTGATGCGAAGATGTCGACATTTCATGCTTCAGCTAGCCACCGAAATGGCAGAAGCAAGCAACAGAGATTTGGGCACGCTCATTTGCGGTCTTCATTAGTCCGGACCTTTGCAAACGTTGGGTCATGCGATTAACCTCGTCGCGGATACGATGCAATGCCCTTTGCAACAACTGTGGAGTGTCAGTTGGCATACACATGGCTAAACTACTGCCGATTGGGTCAGGAGATATGGATGGCGAGAGTGCCACTTATTTGTTTTGACGTGGTTGAGTGGCATCTCCCCCATCGTGTCCTCTGACAGTTTGGTTGGGTGCAGTCCGTGCCGGATCGGTTCGACACTGAGTGGCAGTTGCACGTCACTGATAGGCGTGGCCGAGCTGGCACTGACTGGCATCTGTTTTATATGCCCTATATACAGTTGTGGGATGCCATGGATATATCAGACA